TAAATTATTCCCACGTGGCGGCTAATGATTGGCCTGTTAGCCGTATAAGAGGCTTGAGCAGTTTCCGCCCAAGCGGAAGAGGACTCCACATCCATCTCGTGGGAACTCTGGGTACACGGCAGGATAATAAGAGACCCTGTGTGAGATTCAGAGGAGTTTGGCGACCTGATCCATCGCCCACCTCTTCCCGTCTTCGAGCGCAAATTTTATAAGACGTATCTCCGATTTCGATTTTGGTGGCGCATTCACCCAGAGCATCCGGAGCTCTGTTCTGTGGAGCCTAGCAACCTCCACGCGACCGTCCGTGTTGTCTGTGTCTGTAACCGCAGCTCAAGCAAGTTTTCCAGCCTACACCACTGCCATCTCGGTGTAAGTAAACAATCTTTAAAACTACCGCTAAGCGTTTGTGCCTAATTCCAGCTCGTCGCCCTCCCTCTCCGATTCAGCGTGCCCGGGCTGCTGGCCACAACCCGCGTGCAGCACGGAAAAGGGCTCGGGTCGCTCCCGGCCCGCACAGAGACAGACACCCATGACTTGGCAGAGCACTGAGGGGAGCAAGGGACACAGCAGGAGCCTGTCACATCCGGAGACGGGACCTGGACCCGAATCTGAGTCTGCCCAAAAGGGGTCGTGCAACGGAGCAGAGAAGACAGCAGCCACTCACATTTCCTAACAGAGTCCTCAAAGCCAGTGATCCCGTCCAGCAGCTCCATGTTCTCATCCAGGGCTTGCTGCAAAAAAAAAAAAGGAAGAACCATGCATTCGGGTCGGTTAGCAAGCACCGAGACAGAGACAGCCGCTTCCTGACCCGAGGCCAAGAGCTTGCAACGCAGCGGCTACAGGGGTGCCACAAAGGAGGCACGGGGGCAGGGAGGGCACATGCTCACGCTGCGGAGGCTCCCCGGGCTCAGGGCACCAAAAGGGCAGGACAACGCTCACCCAAAAGGCCTGGAAGTGGCAGGTCTCCAGCAGCTCCCCCAGGTAGAGGATCTGCCTGATCGGCCTCTCTTCTTGCTGCGACGAGCGGGTCAAGGGGGAAAAGCAGCAAACACACAGACCCCAGAGTTCACCCCCCGGGCGGAGGAAGGAGCTGCGAGGCTCGAGGGAGGCCACGTGCCAGGGCGAGGGAGCGCCCACAGCAGCGGGGAGACCCCTCCAAGCCCTCCCACCCCGAGCGGGCAGCCACACGCTCCTTCCGACCCGGGGAAATAAAAGGATACGTGAGCCTGGTCGATCATGCACTTGCAGAGGGTGAAGTCCGTGTGCGGGAGGTTGGTCAGCGCCTTGAGCAGGATCTGAGCGGTGACGGTGGTCTGGAAGAACGCTGGATTGAACTGGTACCTGAGGAGGAGGGTGCACGTGTTAGTATGGAGGGGGGGCGGGATTCACGTGGTCCCCCCCCCCAAAAAAAAAGCAGGGGGGGGGCCGGGGGGGGACGCCCGCA